ATAACTTGTGTATTATTCCATTATGTAAGATGAATATATACAATTACATTGAGCTTTAATAAAGGAAACTAAATAAGAAAAGACCCAAATATATTCTATCATATCCCTATATATTTGCTATGCTATATACACTACAACCAAATGTGTCTACATACATTAAGTAAGACCCCCCCTCAAGGTGGAGCATAGATGTTAGTCATGCCCAGCTTGTTACAAAGGTGATCAACTCGAGTCTCATTCAATGCTTTAGTGAACAAATCAGCAAGTTGCTTTCTTGTCTTCACGTAGCCGGTAGAAATGAGGCTTTCTTGAATCTTCTCACGAATGAAATGACAATCAACATTAATATGTTTAGTTCTTTCATGATACATCAGATTCGAAGCAATATGAAGAGCACATTGATTATCACACCAGAATTTTGTTGGTATATGATGTTTTAACCCAATTTCAGTTAAAAGATGATGTATCCACATAATTTCACACATAGACTATGACATAGCTCTGTATTTATATTCTACACTAGATCTAGATACAACACATTGCTTCTTACTCCTCCATGATACCAAGTTCCGTCCAACAAAGACACAATAGCCTTTAGTAGATCTTCTATCAATTTTGTATCCTGCCCAATCGACATATGCAAAACACTCAATATGTGTATGATTGTGATTGCTATATAATATGTCAAGTTCAGGAGCTCCTTTCAAGTAACATAGAATTTGTTCCATAGTTGTCCAATGTTTGATGGTAGGTGCATACCTTAACTGACTGAAAACACTTACTGTAAAAGCAATATCAGGATGAGTCACAATAAGTATAACATCTCACAACTAGAAAGAACTAGAAGGAAGTTTAAAATCTGGAAAATTCTAAGTAAGTTAAAGTGAGTTTTTGGTCAACTTCAAACAACCATAACTCCTAGCTCAGAATGATTTAGGTGTAGTTCCAGATATGGTTGGAAAGCTCTTGGAATGATCTTACCAACTCCTCTAAGTTTACGCGATTTCGAGTTCGTATGAGTGAGTTATGCCCTTTGGAAGCTGGGTTGTTCGAATAAGGAAATGCCCAATCCCGATTTTTGAAGTGTAGTTTGGTCCTTTCCTTACCCAATTAATTAAATCCATTTTTAATAAAATAGTTGGGGTCAAAACTGAGTTAGTTCATTTTACACTTTTGAGAAATAGAGTTAGGGCTTTTGGAGAAAGAACGCAAGAGAAAGGAGAAGAGGAAAAGCAAGAATCGCCAAGAACGATCGATTTTGGTTACGGATTCGCCAAGAAGTAGATGGGCGGTCCTTCATTGATCATATCAATTGAAAATATTGAGATCAACGATAGCTTATCTTATGAGGAGATTCCGGTTTAGATTCTAGATCGCCAAGTTCCCAAGTTGAGAACAAAGGAGGTTGCGTCAGTCAAAATCCTTTGGAGGAACCAATTTGTTGAAGAAGCTACTTGGGAAGCTGAAGAGGATATGAAGAAGATATATCCACTTCTCTTTGAAACCGGAGAAAATGTAGACCAAGGTACTAATTTTCTTCTTAGTACTATCTAAATTATGAGCGAGTATGTTCTTTGTTTGAAATTGCTTTTGGGATGTTTGAACTTGATGTTACCACCCTTAGCTTAGTAAGAGTAAATCTCATTCGAGGACGAATGTTCCCAAGGGGGAGATATTGTAACATCTCGCAACTAGAAAGAACTAGAAAGAAGTTTAAAATCTGGAAATAGTTATTTTTGGAAAGTATAAGGAAATCTGGAGAATTTTAAGTTAAAGTGAGTTTTTGGTCAACTTCAAACAACCATAACTCCCATCTCAGGATGAGTTAGGTGTAGTTCCAGATATGGTTGGAAAACTCTTGGAATTATCTTTCCAATACCGCTACGTTTGCACGATTCCGAGTTCGTATGAGTGAGTTATGCCCTTTGGAAATTGGGTTGTTTGAATAAGGAAATGCCCAATCCGGATTTTTGAAGGGTAGTTTGGTCTTTTTCTTACCTAATTAATTAAATCCCTTTTTAATAAAATAGTTGGGGTCAAAACTGATTTAGTTCAGTTTACACTTTTGAGAAATAGAGTTAGGACTTTTGGAGAAAGAACACAAGAGAAAGGAGAAGAGGAAAAGCAAGATTCGCCAAGAACGATCGATTTTGGTTGTGGATTCGCCAAGGAATTGACCTTACAAGGTATGTGAGTCTTTCATAGCATTGGGTTCGTTCACCCACATGCCAAGCATGTTTATTTCAGCGAAATTCGTCCTAAAAGAGTTTGAAAGTTGATGTTCTTGATAGATATTCTTGAATTTGAATGTCGTTCTTGAATTAGGCTGAATTGAGGAGTTTCTGAGATCTTTACGTTGAGTTTTAGAGTTGTTTTGAGTTAGGTTCTTGAGTATATATACTGGGTATCTGAATCTAAAATGAATTTGAGAACAATAGTCGAGTTTAGGCGAATTGGGGCTGGAAAACGAAGAAGGAAAAAGTCGGACAAGGAACAGGTTCCAGGTCCTCGTCGCGGACCTGTTCCTTCAAAGTGAAAAGTTGCTCCGCGTCGCGGTTAGGACGCGGAATCCTCTGTCTCAAATTTAATTTCGCGTCCTTTTATTTATCAAAATCTCCGCATCGCGGACTTATTCCAAGACAGTGATTTCGTGAACTTTACTAATGTTTAGCTATCGAAAATCATTCCTAAACAACATGAGATCTTTCCAAACACCAATCATAATCCTTGAATCCATAATTCAATTCAAGGATCAGTTAAGAGTCAAGTCAAGAGCATTTAAGATCAAAGTCAAGAGAAGTCAAGAGTCAAGTAAGAGAAGTTCATTTCAAGTTTTCATAAGTCTTTAACAAACGTTTTAACTTTGTTTTAAGACTTAAGTTTTGAAGTTGAGTAAAGAGTAAAAGCAAAGTTCATTTTCTTTAAAATGATATATGGGAACTAAGTATTTTCAAGAGTAAATGTTTTCACATTTAAGATGAGAGGAAACTGAGATTTCCAAAAGAGTTTTGAACAGCAAAAGGGAACATTGATTCCAAGAGAGCTTTTTAAGCTAAGTTTGAGCAATTATCTCAAACCAGAGAAGAAGTTGTTTTAAAAAAATATTAGCTAAGTATATTTTGGGAGTAGTATTGAGCATCGATATGGGGACGCAAGTTCATATTAACTCAAGCCCCCATAAACAATGTAGCCATCATGAGCAGAAAAAGGATCATACTTTTTAGATGATTCTTTAGAGCTTTTTAGCATAGACTAGTGGATCCACTTAGTAGATCAGGTTCTATACCGATGGAAAGGTATAGGACGGTCCTTGGCAACGTGAGGTAAAATGTTGTACCATCACTTAGGCTTATAATGATGGTTGTCGGTTAGAGAATCTCCCACATAAGTTATATTACTTTCTAAATGAGTAAAGTGAAGTTTGTTATTTCTTTATGTTTAACGAACTAAGATTGTTTTCAATTGTTTTATATGCTTTATATATATATATATATATATATATATATATATATATATATATATATATCGCATTTGTTCTATTGCTTTATATTGAGTTGAGTATCCATGAGTTGAGAAGAGTCAGGTAGGTGTTTCTTCCATAATCTCTTTCGAGCCTATGTTTGTTAGCATTCCAACTCGCATACTCGTACATTCAATATACTGATGCTAGTTGGCCTACATCTTATTATGATGCAGACGCAGGTAACCAGTATCAGCATACAACGCCTCGTTGATCCAGCTTGAGCATTCAGAGTCTGTTGGTGAGCCTCCTTGCATTCCGGAGGACTCCTTTATTTGCTTTCTAGTCTTTTAGATATTAGGATAATCGGGAGTCTTGTCCCGACATCCCTCTTTGTTTTAGAGGCTTCATTGACAATTAGTAGTTCAGTAGTCTTTGCATTATCATTATTATGTTAAAGACTTAGGTTACCACTTTTGGCCAAGTTGAATGTATAATCTTTAAAACATTCTCAGATATTTTATTAGTCAGTTCAGTTCATTGATCATTATAGTTATGAATATTGTCTTCCGCTGATTTAAGTAAGCCAGGCCAAGGGTTCACTTGGGGCCAGCAATAGTCTTCGAGTGCCAGTCCCGTCCAGGGTATTGGCTCGGGGCATGACAAACTTGGTATCAAAGACCAAAGTTCAAGAGTTCTAGGGAGTCTATGAAGTTGTGTCTGTAGAGTCCTAGTTATTAGTGTGAAGCGCACCATATCTATAATTAAGAGGCTGCAACACTTAGGAAATTATCTCACTTCTTTCACACTTTTGTCGTGCGTTAGAGTTTAATCTCTAAAAAGTTTCTTCTAATTCATGCTTGTGCGTGTTTTCAGATAATCATGCCTCCATGAAGAGCTGTCAGAGGTCGTCGTGCGAGACATAATGTTGAGGAACAAGAGTTACCCAATGCACCTGAAGTGCAACCTCAAGGCGAAGTCACCAATGTTGAGTTCCATGAGCCTATCCGGATGGTGAGCCAAGTTGTGACTAACCAGGTTGGGCAGTAAAGAGGGGTTCAACAAGAAGAGGCTGACACTTCAATGATTTGTGAGTTCTTGAGGATGAATCCTCCAAGTTTCACTGGTTCCAGCACTACTGAGGATCCAGATAACTTTATTGAGGAACTGAAAAAAGGTATTTGACGTGATGCATGTTGTTGATACTGAGAGAGTTGAGCTAGTTGCATACCAGATGAAGAATGTTGCTAGGACCTGGTTTGATAAGTAGAAAGGGGGTAGAGCTGAGGATGTACCCCCTGCGAGTTGGGCCTGTTTTGAGAAAGCTTTCTTGGGGTGTTTCTTTGCCTAGGAACTGAAAGAGGCCAAGGTACGTGAGTTCCTCACACTTAAGAAGGATTATCTAAGTGTTCATGAATATGGGTTGAAGTTCACCCAACTATCCTGTTATGCTCTGGAGATGGTTAAGGACATGAGAAGTAGAATGAGTTTGTTTGTTGCTGGGTTAGGCCGTCTATCAAGCAAAGAGGTCCAGGAAGCAATGTTTATTGGGGACATGGACATTTTGAGGTTGATGGTCTATGTGCAGCAGGTAGAGGAAGAGAAGCTTAGAGATAGAGATGAGTTCAAGAATAAAAAAGCAAAGATAGGAAATGAGTCTGGGCAGCAGAATGGTAGAGTGAATCGTTCGTCCTTTCAGACGAAAAATGGGCCTGCACCATCATATGTTAGTGCACTTAAACCTAAGAACAAAGGTGAGTATAATGGCCAGAATTCACAAAACTTCAGAGCTAGAACAGCACGGTCTCAAGGTAGTGTGGCACAAGGAGGTAGCTGGGCTCCTCTATGTGGTAGATGTGGTAGAAAACACTCAGGTAAGTGTCGTGATGGCAAGACAGGTTGTTTCAAGTGTGGGCAAGAGGGACACTTCATGAAAAAGTGTCCTAAGAATAAGCAAAATAGTGGAAATCCAGGCAATAGATCCCAGTCTTCATCAGTTGCTCCACCAGACAGGGCTGCATCTAGAGGGGCTACTTTCGATACTGGCGGAGGAACAAACCGCTTATATGCTATCACTAGTCGCCAAGAGTAAGAGGATTCGCCAGACGTTGTCACTGGTATGATTCGAGTCTTTGACTTTACTGTTTATGCCTTACTAGATCCAGGAACGAGTTTATCTTTTGTAACTCCATATGTTGCTATGAACTTTGATGTTATTCCTGAGCAACTTAGTGAACCATTCAGTGTCTCTACGCCTGTTGGTGAGTATATTCTAGTAGAGTGAGTCTACCGTGATTGTCCCATTTCCGTCAATCACAAAAGTACCATGGCTAATTTAATTGAGTTAGAAATGGTAGATTTTGGTGTCATTCGTGGTATGGACTGACTTCATGCCTGTTATGCCTCAGTTGATTGTAGAACTCGAGTAGTCAAGTTTCAGTTTCCAAATGAGCCACTCTTAGAGTGGAAAAGCAGTTCAGCAGTGCCTAAGGGTTGTTTCATTTCGTACCTTAAGGCAAGGAAGTTAGTTTCTAAGGGGTGTGTCTATCACTTAGTCCGAGTTAATGACTCAAGTGTTGAGGTACCTCATATTCAATCAATTCCAGTAGTAAAAGAGTTTCCAGAAGTCTTTCCTGATGATCTTCCCGGAGTCCCTCCTGAGAGAGAGATAGACTTCGGTATAGACCTTCTTCCAGATACTCGTCATATATCTATTCCGCCATATAGAATCGCACCAGCAGAGTTGAAAGAGTTGAAAGAACAGTTAAAGGATCTATTAGATACGGGCTTCATTCGACCAACTGTCTCACCTTGGGGCGCTTCTTGTTTGTAAGAAAGAAAGATGGTTTCCTTAGGATGTGTATAGATTACCGTCAGTTAAACAAGGTTACCATCAAGAATAAGTATCCTCTTCCGAGAATTGATGATCTTTTCGATCAGCTTTAGGGTGCTTCATGTTTCTCAAAATTGACCTCAGATTAGGCTATCATCAATTAAGAGTAAGGGAATGTGATATTCCAAAGACAGCTTTTAGAACTAGATATGGCCATTATGAGTTTTTGGTCATGTCATTTGGCTTGATCAATGCACCAGCAGTGTTCATGGATCTTATGAATAGAGTCTCCAAACCTTATTTAGATATGTTTGTTATCGTCTTCATTAATGACATACTAATCTATTCAAGGAATTAAGAATATCATGCTAGTCCTCTCAAAATTGTTCTTCAGACATTGAAAGATAGAAAATTGTATGACAAGTTCTCTAAGTGTGAATTTTGGCTTGAGTCAGTGACGTTCTTGGGTCACATAATTTTCGGTGATGGAATTAGAGTTGATACTCAGAAAATTAAGGCAGTGCAGAATTGGCCTAGACCCACATCTCCAACTGATATTAGGAGTTTCTTGGGTTTGGCTGGTTATTATATAAGGTTTGTAGAGGGTTTTTCGTCCATTTCATCCCCTTTGACGAAGTTGACTCAGAAAATAGTGAAGTTTCAATGGTCTGAAGCTTGTGAGAAAAGCTTTCAGGAATTGAAGAAAAGGTTGACTACTGCCCTAGTTTTAACTTTACCGAAAGGTACTCAAGGTTTTGTGGTGTATTGTGATGCATCTAGAGTTAGCTTGGGTTGTGTATTAATGTAGAATGGCAAAGTTATAGCTTATGCCTCTAGACAGTTGAAAGTTCATAAGAAGAACTACCCAATCCATGACTTAGAATTGGCTATTGTAGTATTCGCTTTGAAGATATGGCGTCATTATTTATATGGTGTTCATGTTGATATATTCACTAATCATAAGAGCCTTCAGTATGTGTTCGCCCAAAAAGAGATTAATCTCAGACAGAGGGGGTGGTTAGAATTGCTCAAGGATTATGACATGAGTATTATTTACCACCCAGGTAAGGCTAATGTGGTTGTTGATGTGTTAAACAGGTTGTCTATGGGTAGCACCGCCCATGTTGAAGAAGGAAAGAGAGTGTTAGCAAAAGATGTTCACAGACTGGCACACCTGGGATTCAGACTTATGGATTCCACAGAAAGAGGTATAGTGGTGACGAATGGGGATGAGTCATCATTAGTGTTAGAAGTAAAAGGCAAGTAAGACCCAGTCCCTATTTTGCTTGAATTGAAGGCAAATGTTCATAAGCAAAAAGTATTAGCTTTTGAACAAGGGGGAGATGGTGTATTGAGATATCAAGGTAGATTATGTGTACCAATGGTGGATGGACTCCAAGAAAGGATCATTGAGGAAGCTCATAGCTCCAGATATTCCATTCATCCGGGTTCCACAAAGATGTATCGTGATTTGAAAGAAGTGTATTGGTGGAATGGTATGAAGAAGAGCATTGCAGAATTTGTTGCTAAGTGTCCAAATTGCCAACAAGTTAAAGTAGAGCACGAAAGGCCCGGTGGTTTGGCACATAATATAGAACTTCTGGAATGGAAGTGGGAGATGATTAATATGAATTTCATCACAGGCTTGCCAAGGTCTCGCAGACAGCATGATTCTATTTGGGTGATCGTCGACAGAATGACAAAATCAGCCCATTTTCGACTGGTAAAGACAACCCATTCAGCAGAAGATTATGCCAAGTTATATATTCAGGAGGTGGTAAGACTTCATAGAGTTCCAGTCTCCATTATTTCAGATAGAGGTGCACAATTTACTGCACAATTCTGGAAATCTTTTCAAACAGGTTTGTGTTCAAAGATGAACTTAAGTACTGCCTTTCATCCTCAGACTGACGAATAAGCAGAGCGCACTATTCAGACATTAGAAGATATGTTGAGGGCTTGTGTGATTGATTTCAAAGGGAATTGGGATGATCACCTACCTCTCATTGAGTTTGCTTACAACAACAGCTATCACTCAAACATCCAAATGGCTCCTTATGAATCTCTTTATGGAAGAAGGTGCAGATGTCCTATTGGATGGTTTGAAGTTGGTGAAGCGGGGTTTATACGACCAGATTTAGTTCAACAAGCTATGGAGAAGGCAAAAGTAATTGAAGAGAGATTGAAAACAACACAGAGTTGTCAAAAATCCTACACTGATGTTAGAAGAAGGGGGGCGTTAGAGTTTGAGGTAGATGATTGGTTATATTTAAAAGTTTCACCCATGAAAGGTTTTATGAGGTTTGGTAAGAAGGGGAAGCTTAGTCCCCGATATATTGGACCTTATAGAATAGCCAAGAAGATTGGCAATGCAGCTTATGAGTGGGAGCTACCACAGGAATTAGCAGCGGTTCATCCGGTATTTCACATCTCCATGTTGAAGAAGTACATGGGCGATCCTTCATTGATCATATCAATTGAAAATTTTGAGATCAACGATAGCTTATCTAATGAGGAGATTCCGGTTTAGATTCTAGATCGCCAAGTTCTCAAGTTGAGAACAAAGGAGGTTGCGTTAGTCAAAGTCCTTCAGAGGAACCAATTTATTGAAGAAGCTACTTGGGAAGCTGAAGAGGATATGAAAAATATATATCAACTTCTCTTTCAAACCGGAGAAAATGCAGACCAAGGTACTAATTTTCTTCTTAGTACTATCTAAATTATGAGCGAGTATGTTCTTTGTTTGAAATTGCTTTTGGGATGTTTGAAATTGATGTCACCAACCTTAGCTTAGTAAGAGTAAATCTCATTCGAGGACGAATGTTCCCAAGGGGGAGATATTGTAACATCTCGCAACTAGAAAGAACTAGAAGAAAGTTTAAAATCTAGAAAGAGTTATTTTTGGAAAGTATAAGGAAATCTAGAAAAATTTTAAGTTAAAGTGAGTTTTTGGTCAACTTCAAACGACCATAACTCCCATCTCAGGATGAATTAGGTGTAGTTCCAGATATGGTTGGAAATCTCTTGGAATGATCTTTCCAACGCCTCTACGTTTGCGTTATTCCAATTTTGTATGATTTAGTTATTCCCTTTGGAAGTTGGGCTGTTTGAATAAGGAAATGCCCAATCCGGATTTTTGAAGGGTAGTTTGGTCTTTTCCTTACACAATTAATTAAATCCATTTTTAATAAAACAGTTGGGGTCAAAACTGATTTAGTTCAGTTTACAATTTTGAGAAATAGAGTTAGGGCTTTCGGAGAAAGAACGCAAGAGAAAGGAGAAGAGGAAAAGCAAGATTCGCCAAGAACGATCGATTTTGGTTGCGGATTCGCCAAGGAATTGACCCTACAAGGTATGTGAGTCTTTCATAGAGTTGGGTTCGTTCACCCACACGCCAAGAATGTTTATTTCAGCGAAATTCCTCCTAAAAGAGTTTGAAAGTTGATGTTCTTGATAGATATTCTTGAATTTGAATGTCGTTCTTGATTAGGCTGAATTGAGGAGTTTATGAGATCTTTACGTTGAGTTCTAGAATTGTTTTGAGTTAGGTTCTTGAGTATATATACTGGGTATCTGAATCTAAAATGAATTTTAGAACAATAGTCGAGTTTAGACAAATTAGGGCTGGAAAACGAAGAAGGAAAAAGTTGGACAAGGAACAGGTTCCAGGTCCTCGTCACGGACCTGTTCCTTCAGGGTGAAAAGTTGTTTCGCGTCACGGTAAGGACGCGGAATCCTCTGTCTCAAATTTAATTTCGCGACCTTTTATTTAGAAACATCTCCGCGTCACGAACTTGTTCCAAGACGTTGATTTCGTTAACTTTACTCATGTTTAGCTATCGAAAATTATTCCTTAACAACATGAGATCTTTCCAAACACCAATCATAATCCTTGAATCCATAATTCAATTCAAGGATCAGTTAAGAGTCAAGTAAAGAGCAGTTAAGATCAAAGTCAAGAGAAGTCAAGAGTCAAGTAAGAGAAGTTCATTTAGAGTTTTCATAAGTCTTTTACAGACGTTTTAACTTTGTTTTAAGACATATGCTTTGAAGTTGAGGAAAGAGTAAGAGCAAAGTTCATTTACTTTAAAATGATATATGGGAACTAAGTATTTTCAAGAGTAAATGTTTTCACATTTAAGATGAGAGGAAACTGAGATTTCCAAAAGAGTTTTGAACAACAAAAGGGAACATTGATTCCAAGAGAGCTTTTTAAGCTAAGTTTGAGCAATTATCTCAAACCAG